GCAGACTCGAAACATCTGTGTCACTGATTTGTCATAGTATACATTTATTAGACCAAAAGGTTATCGAACGCAAATGATAGAAGATATGTCGAAATGAAATAATTTTCATAAAAATTTTAATCATCATTAACACTTTGTACATAGGCTTTAAGGACTTAACATGGTTTCGAGAGTTGTGAATCTTTGATCTGCAAGTTTCATCACGTTGTTTTCTTTACCTTTACCTTTTAGATCCCCTTGTGAAAAAAAGTTTATCAAGGGAAGCTGCCACTTACCAACAATACAAGCAATAATGTGAGCATTACCGTGTTCCAGTTTGGAAGGCTAAGGGTACTGGTGAAATTACAGGCACAAGGAACTCGTCAATAGTAACGAAAGAGACTCAGTCTTCTAAGGCGTTTTATAACGACTCGACTCTAAAATTAAGACTGGGGCTGGGTATTCGAGTTTTTATTAATAATGTCGTTACTAAAAAACTCAAAAAACTAAAACGACTTATACAATTTGAAAGACTTAAACGACTCGAGTTGTTTTCAAAGGACTTATACCTATTTTATGTCTTATTAAACCGAGTTTATAAATAAAAATGGCCATACGGCTCATGACTCGCGGCTCCCGAGGCTATGAGACGCCAGTCGTTTTAGTCCCATAAGTCTTTAGGGTCGTATGTTAGGTCTTCTTCATGGCGAATTAAGAACACAATGATATTCCACGTGGAAACCGTATAATTTTGACTCCAATTAATTACGTTTTTGATTATACAAGTTATGCGGACGGCAATGAGGAAACGAATGGTAGCGCGCGGCGCGCGTACCAATACTAAACTTGAAAATGATTACAATGCTTCATGTGTCACTACAATATTCCTCCCCTACAACATTTTCGAAAATAAAATTCACACAAAGCTTTTGAATTACAAAACAGAGCCAAAGTATATTAACAACAAACTGCATTACAAATTTAAGTAAGCAAATACCGATAATAATTAATGTTCCTAGATACTCAAATTACATTTCATTTACAAAGTACGAACTTATCGCTAGACCGTAACATGATTCGTTCACTCGCAAGTTGCTATGTTTCGATATGCAACCGTGCAAGATAATTTTTGAAAACCGTAGCTGTCTGTACACATGTTGCCAAGTTGATGGTAATGATTTCGTCGCCTCTTCATAAGCCCGTTAACGTAAATTATAAATGCTTGTATCCTCCCGAGAGAGCTGTTTGGAGTAGGTGCTGCCATTCATCTCCAGGTTCTTGTCGAGAGTCACGTTACTTTCTCCTGGCTATAGTTCACAGTTCGCGTCAAACTTTCTTCTCCTACAAGGAGCAGTGCTCCATCCAAGGCAAGAACGTGAAGCCTCGAAACATCGTGCCTTCGCAAACGATGTCCATGTGCCGATGCGTCGATGTGCGTTAAAGTGGTACGCCTACTGCATTCCGTCTGCCGTCGACCATCGGTTGCACAATTTCTTCACGCGGTGGACTCTTTTGTATCTTCTGCACTGTACTTACAGGAAACTATGCTCTCCGAATTTTTCTTACTACATTACATTAAATTTATATCACTGATTTTTTTTTAAATTGCCTAAAAAATGTTTTTAATCGCGTACTGAAATAATCTTGCTAAATATTGTCCGCATGTTAGCCATTGTTATCCTCGTCGTCCTATTGTGCACGACGGAGTGAGTCGTCCCGTTGATGAAATTTGATTCCGAATTCCAGAAATTTCATGATGAAGGTTGTGTATTTCAAATGTCGGTGGTCACCGGTTTAGGGTCGTATGTTAGGTCTTCTACATGGCGAATTAATAACACAATGGTATTCCACATTTTTGATTATACAAGTTATGTAGCGGTGAGGGAACGACTGGTAGCGCGCGACTCGCGTACCAATACTAAACTTGAAAATGATTACAATGCTAAATGTCTCCGTATAAGTCTTTTAAGCTTCCTAGGGTTAAAAGACTTCGACTCGAATTAGTCTTCAGTTTTAGTCTTATGACTCAAGACTTGAGGTTTAAAAGACTATACTAGTCGTGAGTTGTTGAAAATTAGTCGAGGTTTTTTAAAAGGCCTTAAAAGACTCGAGTCTCTTTCATCACTACTCGTCAACATATGCCTGTGACGGGCGCAGTGGCAGTGCCGCTGAGATCTTTGCGAAGCTCTGAGTGGCACTGTCATTTCGATTACGATTTTTTATTTCTACAGAAATACTTTTTATGCCTACATCCCAAAGTCGGCGAACAAAACCCGCTTGTATTAATGAGTGTTCCTTGCATGTGAGGTTTCGTATCTCGAAATATGTATCGCGTTGGCGAATTTCCAATTTTCGTTTGTCTAAATTGTAGTTTCGAGCCAAGTTGGAATTCGATGGGAGTGTGAGTCCGTTCTACATTGAGATTGAATCAATATGAATGAATTCTGTCTAGAGGACAGCGTCTAAATAAGACTAACACAGACTCTAATTAATAAAAATGGTGATATTTTTCAAGAGACCACCTGGCGGTGAGCCAGGTGAGAGTGGTATGTCCACTTAGAGCTTTAAATCGCAAAGATCACAGTCACTGCATCCGTTACCATAAGATGCTCAGCTGACAAATCCCTTGTCCCTGTAGTTTCATTAGCACCCTTACAGTAATGTTCAGATGTTTTTATGACACCAAAATGACGCGACTGGTTATGGTGTTAAGCAACATGCCTGTCCATAACAGTTACAATGCAATGTGTTAATGAGAGACACTGCATTTCACTAACACCCTTAATCCATCAAAAATGCAGTCATGTAAGCATTGCTGATTGGCGGCACACATAGGTAAGGTGGCAGTACTTCCCAGGACGAACTCTTACACAAGGACCCATTGACCTACCAACAAAAAGACATCGGGTCTAATACAAAAACCACGAAAAAAAAATGTCCGAGGATAACCTATACAAACGTAGTGACATGTAACGAAATGTAAAAAACTGAAACATTTAGTTTAAATTATAACGTCATTGCCATACTGCCTAATTTTGCTTGCAACAATTTAAGGGCCCAAAAACACCATATTCAGCTTCTACTGGAAACTTAACCAAATTCACCATATTTAGCTTCGACTGAAAATTACTTGAACCCAAGATTAATGGAGTAGCCATTTTTATATATATATTATTATGTCGAATTTTGTACAAATTCACTTAAAGGTATAATAAAGAGTTGGGCAGATACATACATACAAATATTGCTACAAATGTGAAAATAAGCGTGTACTATAAGAAATGTACCGATATTCTAACTAACCGTAAACTCAAATATCCGTAATTCCGATTTATAACAAAACCATTACGCTTTCGAGTAATTTTGATGCTTTTTACATAGACAAAATTAGCTTTTGTTTTGTAATCTTCGTAAAAACACATTATGAAAATTCGACCTAATGTTATTTCGGGCAATTGTATTTTCTGACTTCTGATAGGTAATCCCATGCCGTAAAACGAGTACAACAACGTTTTGTTAGTTATTGCTAACGTTTAATAAAAAAATCATTTTAAAAGTAGGATTAAAATCAAAGCAACTCTACAGTTTTTTTGTTCTAAATATTTCAATCGCTTGTAGTTCGAACAATTGAAAATGACCAAGAAATTGATATAAGCTTCTTGAAACTGACATAATGGGTCTATTTCCATCTTTTGCGCAGGCAATGAGTAGAAAAAGGACAGTTAGCTATTTCATTATTTCGTGTGCTTTTGTAATTTATATTTACGATTAAATTAAATATTATAAAATTGCACCATATAACACTTTTAAATTTTTTTTTTTTTATGACATTAAGTAACGGGACGAACAAGTCGTGTGCCTGATGGTAAGCTACACGCCTGCCCATAACAGTTGCAGTGCCACCAAGAGCTTTAAATTACAAAGATCTTGGGGGCACTGCCACTGCGCCCGTCACCCTGAGACATAAGTTGACAAGTCTCATGTGCCTGTAATTTCACCAGCACCCTTACCCTTCACAACCGGAACACAGTAATGTGACCATTACTGCTTGGCGGCAGAAATAGGTAAGGTGGCAGTACTTCCCTGGACGAGCTCTTTCACAAGGAGCTCTACTGCTACTAAAATGACAGCTATGATAACGCAATATATTTATTTAGTGAAAATATGATACAAAATCCTGTTTTCACACTTTACTGCAGTAATTTTTACAAGTTATTATTATTGGTACTGCATGATTGACAACCACGCTGTCACTCGAACAAACGAAGACTATTGCGCGATTGACGCTCTGTATGCGATTTTAACGCCCTACGGGTGCGGACACTTTTTAGAACCTTTTTAGAACCCGACGTCCATTTATTGGTAGGTCAATGCAAAGAACTCTACTACTGTGATTACTCTAGGGCGGCAGGTATTGTTGCAGTGCTTGATTGGACGAACACTTCCCCTGGGAGTTTAACCGCTACTTGTGATTGATTGAAGGAGATAAAGTGGAATACGTGCAATAATTTATTTAGATTCTCTATTTACAAGGGATAATTATATTGAAGGGAGAGTAGACGCAGGATATCATGTGAATGGGGCTTTCCATGCCTTCATGAACAGTCGGAAAGTATCAAAAAAAGTATGACGCCATGTGTGTGGAGAGGTACTGGTTGCTACACCTGTATTAGTGGCGAATGTTTGTTAAGCACTGGATTAGAAGCGGAAAAAACTGTTTTATTAGATCAAATGGTTTAGGTATTTAGTATTAAATAGTGGCTTTAAAAAGCGGCGGCTGCCAGGTGGCTGCTAGGCGCTAGCCAGTAGCGGCGTTAAATCGCGAAGAGTGGAAAAAGGGAAGGGAGCCCTTTGCCTTTGCCCTCGCGTTGAACTCGCCTTATGTTACAGTGAGTGTAGTGCCCTTGCAGGGTTCACGTGCTGTAATCTTTTATGTAACATTAATAATAAATGAATAAGCAACCTAATCCTATGTGCATACGAATCAAGCTCGTTAAGTACGTATCAAGTTTTTCGCTTACCAGTTATCCGCTGTGTTATGGACGTCATTGCAGGCAATGTTGGTCCATAGATTGTCAAATGCGGCGACATTGGCCTCTTCAGCGTCATATTTTTGTGATCGTGATCCATGTAACAAGGTTTCGTATAAGGCTTATAGATTATTTTGTGTTTTGAGCCGCCTTGTGTTGTTCCGCATTCGTTGTACATTATAGGACACGTTGATATTCTTCTACGTAAAATTATTAAAGGAGGACGTCTGTGAGAATGGAAGAAAGATATTATCATCAATGTCATCATCATCGTCATCACCAATTATATGATCCACTGCTACGCACGGTTCTCTACTACTCTCCACTAAAACAATAGAGACAGCAGATTCTAGGGCCCCAATTCTGCATTTTTTTTTAAATCACTAGTTGTTGTAATTCCGTTGAGACTCCACAGATATTATATTGCAATTATGATAATATAATAATGTTAATTGTGCTGAAATGTGTTGAGTCTCAATACAGTGTCAGTGGAATACTAGTGATGGCAATCATACATTCACTCACTAACGATTGTTGTTGTCTTACTAAAACTACTAAGGAAATTATTGTACATATCTTAGTTTTTTAAATTTAGTCAGTAATTTAGTCTCGAAATTATATGTACTTCTTGTTCGTGACTGGCCATTGAAGAGCAGAATGCCAAAAAATTGCAATGGCGGCCAATCGCAAGTCACTATCGAGTATATAACCAGTAACAGAGACGAGATAAGGGCCATCCATCTCTGGCAACTCATCAGGCAAATGGGCCTTATATCACTTTTAAACATCAACTCTCGTTTGTGCTGAAATCACAAATTGGAAAGCTGAAACAGCACAGCGCCAACAACTGACCTGTATGTACGTCGCCGTATATTCCAAAATTATTTTGTATTTATTGTAATAAAGATAATATCTGTAACTACGGGGGCGGTTCCATTCGGTGGTGTGGGAAAAACAGCAAAACGTCTAATTACAAAACAAACGGAATCACATTTCATCGGTAATTAAATATTAAATATGTAATTTTTCAATGTTCGTCTATACAATAAACGCAAAACTCAAGTGATCGATTTGAAGTGAAACAATTGACGAGCCACGTCAATTGTTTCGGATTCGGGCTGGCTAATCGCAGCGCAGTTGTCACCGTAATGATTTGGCAGAATGGTTTTCAAATAAATTAAATGACATTTCGCCTCTATTTCTGGTTATATACTCGATGAGAATACCAAGTTCAAAAACCTTGGCATTGCCACTCTATCAACACACAAGTGAAATGATTTAAAATTAGCAGATTTGAGTCCCTAGTCCCAAGCTAGGGAATTCCCTATACTATGAGCACCATTTTTTAGTAGCAATAGAGCTCCTTGTGAAAGAGTTAATCCAGGGAAGTACCTATTTCTGCCGCCAACCAGTAATGTGAGCATTATTTCTAATAAAACCACCGTGAAACTCAAACATTCGTAGTCAGGATCACCGGGATGGAAAACAGTGTTAGATACTACGTCATTGGTTGGTGTGGATAAGACTAAAGAAAGTTGGTAGTGTAATATGCAATCCTGCGTATGACTTTAATAAAAACGAAGCAAACGAGTCTAGTTGCCCGCCGACGCCGCCGCCTGGGTCCGCAGCTGTACTGAGTCATCGGGCTGCCAGGGCTTTGGCGCGCAGTTTTCGTCGAGTCACCGCCGCGGAGTCTCATGATTAAGGACCACGGTCTGATTCACAACATGTCGAGCAAACATTCGACGTAAACTCGAGAGTTATCTGTTAGTTGAGTAATGCCCTTTTGTTTGTTAAATTTTGAATCAGTCAGCGATAAACTGTTTCTTATAATTTCTATTTTTTGTTTTCAATAAAATGTTAAATGAAACGATGTTAAAAGATGGTAATTTAAATTTATTTTAAACTATTCACATTGTCACTTTTTCTTTTTTCCGCTAATGCGCGGTGTATGTAGTTCGGTATTCTCATAAGCCGTGTCTTGTTTGTGTATCTGTCAATGCGGCGGTAGAGACCTTGTAGTCGTTAATGAGCTTATGTGCACTTTGTCTATACACATTTTTTTTCTTTTACTTTAACGTGAGTATCAACATATGAACTTTTTTAAGCGCGTAATTTCGTGTATCTAATGTTATTTGAGAAAATTGTTACAAGCGAGCTATTCCCATCTGATCCCCTAACCCAGTCATCCGCTTGATCCGTTTTATTTTATATTATTGACCTAAAACGCACATTATTCATCAATTGAAAAGTTTAAAGAAAAACTAAGCTTTTAAATATTACTTACATTGACTTACTAATAAACGGACGTCGAGCTCGCGCTAAAAAGTGTCCGTACCTGTAGAGCGTTAAAGTCGCATACAGAGCGTCAATCGCGCAACAGTATTCATTTGTGCGACCGACAGCGCCGTTGTCGATCATGCAGTGCCAATAATAATAACTTGTAAAAATTAGTGCAGTAATGTGTGAATACAGGATTTTGTATCATATTGTCACTAAACAAATATATTGTGTTATCATAGTTCTCATTTAAAAGTGTTATTTAATACAGTTTTATAGTGTTTAATTTATATATAACTGAATAGTAAATGTAAATTACAAAATAATCAAATACTTAACTGTCCTTTTTCTACACATTGCATGCGCAAAAGGTTGAAAGAGACCCATTACGTCAGTTTCAAGACGCTTATATAAACTTCTTGGTCATTTTCAATTGTTCGAACCACAAGCGATTGAAATATTTAGAACAAAGAAACTATAGAGTCGCTTTGATTTTATTCCTATTTTTTATAATGATTTTTTTTTATTAAACGTTAGCAATAACTAGTAAAATATTGTTGTACTCGTTTTACGGCTTGGGATTACCTATTAGAAGTCAGAAAATACATTTGCCCGAAATAACGTTAGCTCAAAATTATCATAATGTCAAATATATTTTTTTGCGAAGATTACAAAACAAAAGCTAATTTTGTCTTTGAGAGAAGCATCAAAATTACTCGAAAGCGTAACGGTTTTATTATAAATCGATTTTCAGAATTACGGATATTTAAGTTTACGTTTAGTTGGAATACCGGTACATTTTTTATAGTACACGCTTATTTTCACATTTGTAGTAATATTTGTACGTATGTATCTGCCCAACTCTTTATTATATCTTTAAGTGAATTTGTACAAAATTCGACATAATAATATATATAAAAATTAATTAATATTTACGATAAAGGCTACTCCATTACTCTTGTGTACAAGTAATTTTCAGTCGAAGCTAAATATGATGCATTTTGTTAAATTTCCAGTAGAAGCTGGTGTTTTTGGGTCCTTAAATTGTTGCAAGCAAAATTAGGCGGTACTGCAATGACGTTACAATTTAAATTAAAAGTTTTACTTTTTTATATTTCGTTACATGTCTCTACGTTTGTATAGGTTAACTTCAGACGTTTTTTTCGTGGTTTTTGTATTAGACCCGATGTCCATTTGTTGGTAGGTCAATGATTACATAGGGCTGATTTTTTGTTAATTGTGATTTGCAATAAGTCAATATTAATGACCAGTCACAAACAATTTGATTGTCTGTGACAACATTTGATCACTATTGCTCAATAAATGAATATTTGAATTTAAAACTTCTTTTTCTCTTGACTGTACTCATCTTACCGCTGAGAATTGAAAAATATAGAGTGGATCAGCACGGATTTAGAATTGGCGGTGGATCGGTTGTAAGGGTTCAGATGAGAATATCTCGTTATAAGCAATTAGTGTTCAATATCTAAACACTGAGATAGCGTGGATTTACTCTGTTATAAAATCACCGAATAATATAGAAATATTAAGGAACATCAGCTTAACTGTGAAATTGCTGTGAGTTAGCTCATAATTTAGAACGTAGAATATATAATATAGAGAGAAGAAAAAGATAATTTACTTGACCGCCACAAGTGACACCGTACACGAAAAAAGAAGGAAAACAGAAACAAAAATTAAAAACAAAACCATTCAAACTGAAATTCTGAAACAAAATAATAAACAAAACAAAAACTAAATTGAACCGCACATTTTTTACATAAATATAAACAAAGACACTAAGTATAATAATACTGTGTGCGGTGTCAGACGCGGTAACAAAAAGGTCACTAACTCAGTATTTGCTGGAAAATGCAATCAAAGTCAAAGATTATTTATAGGTAAAATAAATTTACACTTGAAATCGTCACATTTAAGTTACTGCTCGTTCACTACGCTGACCTCCCTGAGAAGTATGAGCAAGAAACTCTAGGGATTGCTCTTTTCAAATAAACTGAAATGCTATGGAATACACTTTGAATCAAATTTGTGTGGATTCTGGAACCGTGTCGTCTTTCCATACATCTTTATCTAACACGTAGTCTTCAATTTTGTAATATGATTTTTCGTTCAAAATATTTTTAATGTAGTTTTTAAACTTAGGAAATGATAAACTTAATATATGCTCCGGAATCTTATTGTAAAAACGTATACAGTTCCACATAAAAGAGTTGTTTACCTTGGTTAAACGAAATCGTGGTACCATGAGTTTGGACTTAGCTCTAAGGTTAATATTATGGATATCTTCTTTCTTATTGAAATTACGTATATTTTTACGAGCATATAAAATATTTGAGTAAATGTACTGTGATGCCACAGTCATGATACCAGTCTCCTTAAACTTTTCTCTGAGAGAAACCCGAGAGCCCAGACGGTACCTACACAGAACGAATCGCTCGTTTTTGCAATACAAATATGGTTTGAAT